AAGCTCAGAGGTTAGGTAATTTGCTCTGGTCACAAAACTAGGGTGAGGTAGAACCAGATTTGGGGATTCCAGCAACAGCAGGGTCACAAAACTAAGCCCTTCATCACTCCTCTAGACCACATTAATCTCCATCTTCATCCCTGGGGTCCCACAAGCTCCCTCTCTGACCTCACACCTCGCTCCCCACCAGCCACTGCAGCCCATAACCCCTCCCACTTCAAGATGCTGTTGGAGAGAACAAGTAGTCTTTTTATGCCTTAGTAAGTGATATACAAACTAAACATTTTTAACTTCTAAGACGAGTGCTATGCTGTCTAAATAGGCATCAGCCTTGTACAAGTCAGGTTGAGTTCAGAGTAAAGGAATACAAATTCTTAGACTCTAACTCATGAGCAATATGGAAAGTTACAAAAGGAAAATGATTTAGGGAAATATCAACTGTAAATATGTAAAAAATAATGACTCCATGTATTATAGTTCATGTGGTATAGTTTCAATTAATATCAAGTCTGTTTACCTTAAAATTATGGAAAATACAGTTCTAAGATCAATTCATTCTGGTTCATTCTGGTATTCCATGGAACTAAATTAACTCCTTGCTTCATCTTAGAAAGAACTCCACTACCCTACCCTTCCCCCAAACAGGAGGTATCAAGTCCAGAGATCAACAGTCTCCAAAGGGAAGAGAAGGGTTTCTGGCTGTTTTTAGTCTTACAGCAAAAGAGCCAACGTCAAGGTCCAGAATGAGGATGACTGCAACCCCAAAAAAAGCAAACTAAGTAAAAATAAGAAATTTTTGTGGTTGAAGTAGGAACTGTCAATAATTTTGGCCAAAATGACACTGAATATCTGAAAACCCAGAAACATCGATGCAGAGAAATGAACTGTTATATACCTCCAAAATCAATTCAGAACTAAAATAATACCAAAAAGGTTAGGACTATCTATGCAGCAGTGTAGTCAGTATCTATAAAACCCATGCAAGCATCCCAGTGAATTCCAAGTAGTAAACACATGAAAGAACACACAGGGGGGAATGCACAAACCTAACATAGTTTCAAAGCAACCTAAGAAATATGGCATAGATAACAAAAAGTCTGAGCCAAGTAAAATGGAAAGGTGGAAAGGGAGGTAAAAGAAAAAGAACACTGATGGAGACACAGATCATACCTTTGTTAAGCAAGAAAGGATTACAGACAAGGAAACTAAGTGCCACAAAGGCTAAATGGAGGGACAATGCCACACTGCCAGGCTGTGGTGTGCTGTGCCACGCTGACAGTCACAGCAACAGGATTAGAAACATGGGCCAGACCCCAAACGTCCTTCTTGTAACAACTCAGAGCCCACACAGTTCTCTTCATTGCTGGCTGCTCAATCTCCCTCCCTTCCTGTTCCTAGGACCTTCCATTCATTCAACGATTACTTCCTGAGTTGAAGGAATCAATCAATACATGAGTTTATGCCAAGTCTTAATTGTATTTGTCCTCCAAGTCTTTGTTTTTTGCTTCCCCCAGGATGTGATTTATCCTTACAGCTGCCTTAGTCTCCCAAAACAGTTGATGCCTCAATTTATCTGTCAATTCTGCTCTTCCCCATTTGAATACCTTCCTCAAACTCAACTCTTCCCTCAAATCCATCTTACGTCTCACTTTGCTCCGCTGATCTTTTCCTGGCCAAGCATGGCCTCTCTGTCCTCTGAATTGTTCACTTCACACTAACTACATCTGGTGTGGACCTTCATACAGCCTGAATACTTTAGTCCTTAAGTAATTAATATTTCCTGGTCCCCTTTCAATGATGTATGCTTTTATTTAGACAATGGTTCGCTCACACATGAGATTCAAGAATACCTTCTTACTGCTTACCCAAAAAATTACTTCTGAAGGTCAGAGAAAAACAAACAAAACAAGGCACGAGGAAACTTGGAGGTGATGAATATGTGTATTATCTTGATTGTGGTGATGATTACACAGGTCTATGCATGTCCAAACTCATCAAATTGTATACATTAAATATGTGCCAAATTTTGTCTATCAACTGAAGGACAAAGGAGAGGGGAAGAAGAAAGGCAAAAGAGAGAAGAAATTCTTCTGTAGTGAAATGTTCTAAAAAGACTATGTCATAAGTGAGCTAAAATTGGGCTGATTTTTATAGGAATTTAACAGTTCTTGGCAATTTTTTGGAAATTGCTCAGGGCTCAGTGATAAGGTACTGATTCCTATCAGGTCAGCTGCAAACCTATCTTCTGTTACTGCAGAAGTGTCCCTCCTTCCAGCTTGTGCTTTGGACCCCAACCCCTCCCATCCTCTCAGGAACTTTGCACACTTTTCTCACCTGTATTCAACACTTTTCTCACCTGTATTCAACACTTTTCTCACCTGTATTCAACACTTTTCTCACCTGTATTCAACACTTTTCTCACCTGTATTCAACCATTCCCTCTCAACACATACCTTTCCATCTGCATTTGAACATTTGAACGTGCTGAAACCAAAACTCTTGGAAGCAGTTTTCCTATGCTTGCCGTCTCCATTTTTCCTTCACTTCAGCTCACTCCTGCTCCCACCCCACCCCTACCGCCACATCAACATCTCCTGCGAAGGTCACCCAAGACCCCTGAGTCACTAAATCCAATGGATGGTACCCAATATTCCTCTCATAGGAGCATTCCACAGTAATGGCCACTTCCCCCCCGTGGCTGCAAGGACACCTGCTTCTGGCTGTCCCCTCACTGCCCTGGCCACTCCTCCCATCTCCTTTGCAAGTTCAGCCTCCTGTCTCCCCTGCTCCATCCCAGGCTTCCTCCTCCTGTTTCTACTCTAGTCTCTCCATAAGCAATCTCACCCACGCCCACGGTTTCAGCCATCACCTCTACATACAGAGATCCAAAATGGTAAACCAGTAATCAGTCAACATCTCCTCCCACCGCATCTACTACTAATCACCATGTCTGGCAATTTTACCTCTAAATCTCCATTTTTCTCCTCATGATGTAAGGTTCTTATGAGGATCAAATGGGCTAATGTGATAGTACTTTGAAAAGAGGGGGGGAAACACTTAAATCTGAGTATTGGTATTCATTAAACTGAAATCTTCAAAGCAAGAAATTTCTCAAGTTCATCTTTTTATTTATTCCACATGCAGGTGGCCTTCAGTGAATGTACTGCAATGAATTCCTTTTATCGGCTTCAGACATGTTCAACTGAAATGTTCACCTATTCGACAGCATATATTTCCCAAATCATGTCATCATTTTAATCCCCTAAAAGGTGAGAGGTGAGAATCTTAAATTAAATGACTCTGTAAAGTGTAAACAGCACTGGATACTATTGATAATTACAAGGCTGCTTATCTAACGGTAGAAAAACCTGTCACCTTTTTTGGCCTGGCTTTCCAGAAAACACCGAAATCCCACCCACCCTCAAGTTCAAATCTCACATAAAGATTCTTGCTTCCCAACGGTTCATTTTGAGAGGGGGAAATTTAAGCATTACAGGAATATTTAAGCCCTACACCCAACAACACTGCCATTCTACAGAACCAACCCTTTTGTAGGAGAGAGAAACCAGGAAAAGTCTGAAGAGAAAATGCCAGAGTGACCACAGCGGCCTTACTCATCTCTAAGGGTGAGAAGTGCACGGGAAGATGCCAGAAAATAGAAGAATAAAGTTTGTGCAACAGACTCCCATGTCACACCTCTTCCCAGTAATAACCTAACACGCTTTCAGGAGCAACTCGGCAGCACCCTTCAACTCTCGGAGCTAAACCGGGGAAAACAAAGACCGGGTCATAATGATCATGAAAGATGGTATCATCAAACCACAGTTCTCCTGGCCACCCAAACAAAAATCCACTGTGGCAACTATTCAGCCAGCCACCAAGGAGAGGCAGCATAATACAGTGGTTAGAGGTGAGAGCTCTGGGTTTTTAAACAGGCGGCTGATTCCAGGTCTCTCCTGAGATTTCCTGCGAGACTGCACTTTCTCGGGCTGTAAAATGGGAACAACCCCCACCCTAGAGGGCTGTTAACAGCGCGAAGACACCATGTCTAAAGCTCTTAGGACAGTGCCTGGCATGTATTAAAGGCTCAATAAATGTCAGCTATTTGTCCTTCAGCTGCAATCACTTTCACAAGGCCTATTCCCTCTCTAGCTTCCTTATAATTTTAAAGACGTTGTTCTACCTTTTCTACTTTTGAGGGCCGTATCGTCAGTAGCTGAGAGCACGTGTGCTAAAACCAGACTGGGCAAACCAGTTCCATGTGTCTGTGCCTCAGGTTCCTCTTCTATGAAACGGGTCTGATAATACCTACCCCACAGGATTGCTGGTAGCGAGCGCGCCCTCGGTGCTACACAATCTAGGACTGCTTCAAGATTCAAACGCACCTGGGGAAAAGTAAACCTTCAACTCTCACCCCCCGCCCCCCCCAAAATCCAGTCGGGCTTAATCACCGTCGCACCACCACAGGTCGTGGCGACCCTCTCACCCACCCGCCCCATCTCTTCTCACACTCCGCATCAAGACACGCCCGCCCGGCCCTCCCGCACGGTTTTCCGAAATCGCAGGGCTCAGGGTCCTCCCAGGGACCGAGTCAGAGCCGATCTCATCCAAGTTGCCAGGCCACCACCCCGCCCCCAAAGCGCCGGGAGACCCCGTGCATCCTTCCTCCCCCGGACAGCGCGGCGTCTCCGGCTGCGGTTCCCCCCAGCTCACGTGGGCCATTCGACCGAGGCCCCACGTCACCCGCTTCCCGGACCCCACCACGGCGCCTCCCACTCTACCTGGCAGCTTCTCCCCACGCCGCGGGCCGGCCCGAAACGCCGCAGCCGCCTGCGCACACATGGAGCCGGGCTCGGCGGCCACGTCGGGACCCGAGGTTCCCAGGACCGCCGCATCCCTCTCCCCAGGCCGGGGCCAACCTCGGGCCCAGGCTGGCAGCACGCGGAGGCCGCGCCGCCAACCGGTCCCCGCCGTTCCCACAAACGGGCGCTGCAACTCACCGCGACGCCGGGGCTCCGGTTCCTGCGGCCTCGGGCCCACGCAGGCCTGGCTGCACCCCAGAGCATTCACGACCCGCGCCGCTTCCTGAAGACTCTGGCGCAGCCGCCGCGGCCGCACTGCGAGGGGGCAACCGCCTGCTGCCCTGTCCGCCGCTGCCGCCGCCGCCTCGTCCCAGCCCCGGACGCGGCGACAACTGCAGCGCAGCTCCCCGGCGCCGGCAGACCAGCGTCTGTTGAGCCGAACCGCCCGGGACTCGCTCCCCCAGCCGGCGCTCGTTGCATATGCAGAGAGGACGCCGCCCATTGGCCCGCGGGCGGTGGCGCGTGCGGGGCTAGGCCTATCGAATTCCAGCCGGGGAGCACGGCGCAGGCGGCCCGGCCCGGCTGAGCGGGGTTACTATGGGTCATTCGGCGGAGCCGCGGCGTAGGGGACTTAGCCGCAGCCGGCGCGGGGCGGGGACGGGATCTGCCGCGAGGGACAGGTCCGCGGCCGCAGGAGAACGGGAGCTCTCGGGCTTTGCGGCAGCTACGTGGGCGTAGGAGCCAGGTCCAGCAGGGTCTGCAGAAGGGCCGTCCCTTCTGGGGAAACAGACCACCACCACCCCCAAAAAAGAACTGCAAACACACTGTGCTTTGTGTAATGCATAAATTTTGATCTAGATCATGAAATAATACGCATATGTTCATTCTTAACTACATTCTTTATTCCGTTCTTGCACAGAAATCATTGTCAAAATGATTTTTGGAAATTCCGGGAGAGAGAGGGGCTCAAAAATCCAAAGCATGTTCCTTTATTATTTCTCTTGTTTTGGCTTCACCCGACCCAGCAAATAACCCATCTTCCCTAAATGCACTCACTATTTATGCAAGATTGATACTTGTTTTCAAAAGATAAGGTTTACTCCAAATTATTGTTTTGGAACGTTCTTATAAATCTAAAACTGTTTATTTTAAAGAGCTTGCCATTGGATCTCATTTTAGACACTATGGAAAGGAAAAAAAGACATCGAGGACGGGTAGACAGCCTTCCCCACAAGCATAAAAACAGAAACCAAAACACGAATGACTAAAACGACAATTATAGTGCACTATAAGAAAAAAGACCTTCATTATCGTAGTAGTAGTAGGATTGGGCTTTTTAAAAAAAAATTCAACATATTATTTATATTGATATAACATTATCAATGTTATAACATTAAATCAGATTTGATACCACAGGAAATAAATCTGGAGGGTTTTGGTTTTGGTTTTAAGTAGTGAAGGGGCTAGAAATAGTAGTTATTTGAATAGTAAATCTCGCTGAGATGCAAAACTTTGTTAAGTAGGTGAAAGGTGACAGTCATGAGCCAGCCTAAGGCTAAAGCAGGGGCTCACTTCCCAGGAGAATCTCATCAGGGAAGCCGCCTGAACTTGAACTAGGTGGAGTGATGATACACACAGAGCAAAGCAAGCTCACTTATCCTGGGTCCCAAGCCAATTTAGCTCCATAAAAGAATGGATGCCTGATTTAGGCAACCTGTTCTTCCACAACAAAATGCGTTGCTTGCTAATCTAAACGCTATCAAAGGATATACCCTGAAGATAAATGGAATGCAGAATTTCCTATCTAAAAAGCCTACCACCATTCCGCATGCAGAGGGAAGTATATTTTAGAAGTGGTAATTCCAAAACTAGGGAAAGCCCCTAGAAAAATAAGTAATTTCCAAGGAACAAAAACCAATATTGAATCTTATTTTTCCATCAATAAGCATAAAGCAGACTAGTAGAATTCCAGCAACATCTTAGTATCTTTCATCCTGTTTTCTTTTTTCATCATTATCTCTTTCTATAGTATAAAAACACATACACTTATACATACATACGACATTTTTTAAAGAAAATATTCCTTGGAATTAAAATTCTAAATTCTCCTCTTGTTTGCTTAGGCCAAACAGAAATGTAATATTGTTAGAGTCGATTTTTTTTTAATAAAAGACTACATGCATAGATGCTTTTCTTTTACAAAAGGTTTCAGTGTATTTTTATTTTTATTTAGAGCTTTTGAGAGTTATGGAATTTGACTTCATTTTCCTTCTTTTTAGAAAAATTGAATTCAGAAGCTATAATGGCCAACTGGATGAAAATATCCAGCAGTTCCTTTTATAGTTTTATTATTTCAGAAGCACTCACACGAAGTGCCTTTGTAATTCTCATGAATACCTAATGATCTGTTTGGGTCGAAGAATAGTCTGTTACTGTATAGCAAATTACTGCTAGCATTTTCCATAACCATTATAATGTAAAACCAGGAGGAGCTGATCTTTAAAAGTTTAACAGAAACTTTTTTGTTCTTTCATTTCTGTTGGACTAGGGGGTGGCAGCAGACTTGAAGTGGCAAATGATACTATGTTTGAGTTAAGATGGCTCTGGCTGCAAGGAGCAGAACATTCAACAAAAACCAACTTCAACTATGACATTTATTGACCTCACATGAAGATAGTTCAAGAAGCAGGGCAAGTCCAAGATGGATCAGGGACTCTGTGGTGTCATTGAGGACCTGAGCTGTTACCATCTTTCATTCTGTCAATCATAGTGTTACAGGAGTCTCGGTTCTTCTTGCTGACACAGTGAAGAAGCAAAGGTCAGCAAGCTGAATAATATGCAAGCAGGGTTTATTAGTGATGCATTCTCAGGGAAGAGAATGGACCTAGCCAAGGGGGGAGAGAGGGAGAGAAGATGAGAGGGAGAGAGAGGAAGGGGGAGAGAGAGAGAGGGAGAGAGAGAGAGATTGTCCCCAGGACTTAGTTTGCTGGAGGGGGTCAGGGAATTACATGTTGATTTGGTGGGAAAAGGGGGTGCATGCTCTTCCACAGGAGGGCGTGACCTCCTAAGATGAGTGGAGGTCTGTTGATTCAGACCCTTATCTTGCTCCAGACCACCTCTGGGTCATCTGTTGTAAAACCAGGTATACGTGGCTGGAAGCTAGTTATGAGCTTTTTCTGTAGGCTCTGTGGATCCCCTCCCACCCCTCCTCCTTCTCCTACACTTTCTAACTTCTACCTAACATTAACATCCTTGGCTTCATCCTTAGGCCATCAGAGTCACAGATAGCAGCCACAGCTTCAAGTGTCACGTGAAAACACAACAGCATCTGGCCAAAGAACTGGGGCATATTTCCTAAACACCACTTCTAATTAAGGATGAAACCCTTTCTCAGAAAGCTCACAACAGACTGTTCCTCAAGTCCCACTGAACATAATTAGACCACATGTTCATATACTAGCTGCAAGGGAAGCTGAGAAAGTGTCAGTATTTTGGGCTTCTCCAATGGAAAGCCGACACCATCCATACAGAGACAGCCATGGAAAGGAATAAATGTGGGAGGACCTAATTAGCAGTGTCTGCCATGGATATCACCTGAAAGTACCCATCTCTGACTACAAGTGNATGGAAAGGAATAAATGTGGGAGGACCTAATTAGCAGTGTCTGCCATGGATATCACCTGAAAGTACCCATCTCTGACTACAAGTGGCTTAATAAAACCATCTGTTAACTCCCTTAAAATGTCCAGAGGAAAGCAATTCCAGAGTTGCTTCAAAGACTCACTGATGTCATCGAGGAATCAGATTCTTCTGTCTCTTCACTCTGCCATTCTCGATGTTCATGTTCTCTCCCTTCATGGTTCCAAGATGGCTTCAACTGCTCTGAGCATTATCTTTACACACTATCTCCAAAGCCAGAAGGAAAAGGTGGCTTCTCCTACATGTCAGTATGTGTTTACTGAGGAGCTACATCTTTCCAAGATGCACTCAGCCCACTTCCCCTACCAAACACTAGCAAAGGAAATTGCCCTGATAAACTTAGCTCAATTATAGATCGTCTGCTAGGGCTGGAATTGGGTACTCTAGCAACTGGGAACATAGCATCGTTTGACCTTTGGTTCCAGGTATATGCCACATTTTTTAAGGAAAGGGCCCCACCCCAAAAGAGCATCCTCAAGCTGGCTCCTTAGCTGGCCTTTAAGGGACCTTTAAGAATTCTATCTGGCAGCACTTATCTGTGATGAAGTATATGACAGGACCCACGGATCCCATAGTCACATACACATTGTTTCTCCTCTGCCATAAAATGGGTCCCTTGGTTGAAAGCCCAGTATTACACAAGATTCCATGATAGCAAATCCAACACTCTGTGTGAGTCCTTGGATTATGGTGCTGGCAAGGCTCAGTGGGCAAAAATGACAAACTTGTACCCGGTTATATATCTGCCCTGGTAAAGACAAATCACTGCCCTACACAGTGGTAGAGAGATAGCCCTGAAGTGAAGATTTGCAGGTGCCACCAGCATCTACTGGACACCTGAACGCCAAGGGGATATGTGCAAGGCACCAACAGCACCTGATACAGGTGGACAATCAACAGTGTCTGCCATTTATCCTTTTTTTAAAAGAAAAAAAAATACTGGAGTGTATTTCAAGGAATTTTCCAGCTACTGAATTTCAAAGAAAGAATCAGGGAAATTCTAAAAGATTGTGGGGCCAAATCCTGTGGTTCTGTCTTTCCAGCAAGTCCTTTTCCAGGCATCATCTTCAGGAGGGAAACTCATGGTAGATCCTGGGGTGAGACATCACAGTATGCACCCTCGTATACTCTATAGCAGCAGTTCTCAACCTTCCTAAAGCCGCGACCCCTTAATACAGTTCCTTATGTTGTGGTGACCCCCAACCATAAAACTATTTTCGTTGCTACTCTATAACTGTAATTTTGCTACTGTTATGAATCGTAATGTAAATATATTTTTGTTTTCCTATGGTCTTAGGCGACCCCCGTGAAAGGGTCATTCAACCCCCAAAGGGGTCGCAACCCACAGGTTGAGAGCCGCT